GCCCCGCGGCGCGGGGCTGGCTGAGGGCGGCTGCCGGGAGCGCGGGGCGCGGAGCGAAGCGGCGGCTGCGGCGGCCGAGCGCGGGGCACGCCGGGAGACCGCTCACGTGGGACCGGGGGCGGTGCGCGATGAGCCGGGCGGTACCAACAGCGCCGGAAGGAGGGGGTGACTTCCCGCTCTACCGCTTCGGCTCAGCTCGGGAGGTGGCGGTAGATCTCCCCTCGGTCGTGCTGCGTGGTACGCGCCGCGTTCGTGCGCCCCCCCGCGGCGGTGCGGGTGGTTGGTGCCGCTGAGGGGGAGCGGCCGCCATGAGCCCGCTGGGAGCGGGGAATATCCCGCTGGGAACGGCGAATATCCCGCTGGGAGCGGGGAATATCCCGCTGGGAACGGGGAATATCCCGCTGGGAGCGCACCCACCGCCATCAGCACGTCCCACTCCTGCACCTGCACAGCCCGACAGTCCCCCCCCTGTGCCTGCGAGTCCTTCCCGGGAGCTCTGGCGGCCCTGAGGCCGAGGCACTGCCGGGGATCCAGGGGCAGCCTCAGCTGCTGTGGGAATAATTCCATTCCAGGGCCTCGCCTCCCTCACAGCCAGGAATTCCCGATATCCCATCCATCCCTGCCCTGTGATCCAGGGAACCCATTCCTTGAATCCTGTCCTTCCAGGGCCTCGGGAAAAAAGTCAGAAAAGGAGAACTGAAAACAAACGGTGTTAAAGCTCAGTGTAACTTCAGCTGGCGGTGTCTAAAATGTAACTCTGGCTTTCAGGAAAGGTGAAAATCCTGCTGTTTTCCTCGCACAAAGCCCTCCTGCCAAGGTGTTGGTGTGCAGGAAGGAGTTAATTGATTAAATCAAGGTAAAATTGTGCGTGGCCTGAAATTCCTGCCCGTCAATCAAATCGCTGGGAGAGATGCTTTTGATAAATTTGATAATTTTGGTTTAATACCCAAAACCCACCTGAAAAAAAGAGAAGGGAGAAGGCCTGGGAAAGTTGGGGAGGAATTCCCAATAATTTATAACTTGGTCTTGTGCCACTTGACACCAAGTTTAGCTGGATGGAGTCTATCCCACACGGCAGAGTCGGAGAGGGCTGCATCGATTCTGTGGGATAAATGAATTTAAGTGGGGATTCCAAAGGGGAATGACTCGGGAGATCCAGGGAATGATCTCTGCTCCCTTGGTGTATTTATTTATCCGTGTTTCTCTTGCTGGAGTTGCATACCTTGGAGTATTTTCCTGTCCCCAGCCCGTGTTTCGTTGTTGTCCTTCAGCAGTGGGATTTTCAGGGATGGGGATTTATTTTCCTAATATTTCTGGATTTCCACACGCCTCCACGGTGATCAAACACCTCATTTTACACTTTAATGTATAGATCTTTTATAAATCCCGTGGCTGCCATGAGCAGTTTGGCTCAGCTCATGGAAATATGGAATAGTTGGGATAAAAAGGAGAGAAATTCCTGCAATCCCTCCCTTCCCTGGGCAGGGACACCTCCCTCTACAGCAGGTTCTTCCAGCCTGGCCTTGGACTCTTGGAATAAACACCCCCCTGAGCCTAAAGAATTCTCTAAATCCACACAAAAAGGCCTCAATTAATCGGATTTTTCTGCCACAATGAAGCAGTGAAATTAAAATTTAAATTGATTTTTAATTAAATCTTGAAGTCTCATTTCAATCTCTCCTGGTGTGCGGTGAGCTGGGCTCCGGTGGGGCACAGCTGCTTTTGTCAGCCTGAGGTGTAACTTTAGTACTTGGAGTGCTTTTATTTCTTTATTTTTCAGCACAGCTGCCTAAAATCAGTCCAAATCAAGTGAATTTATATAATTTTTTTTCTGATTTTTAAAACTGTTTTTTGTGATTTTAGAGAAATTTTGATAAAGCATCCAATTATTCAATCTTTTTTCCTGATCCTGGAGGAAACTCCTGTTTTTTAATCTGGATTTTCAGACAGGATTTGTAGAAAATACAGAATTCTGAAATTAAGAAAATTGAAATACAAATTTCAATACAAATGCTCTCTGAAATAGAGAGTTTTGGAATAAAAATTCTGAAATACAAATTCTGAATTGCAGATTCTGAAATAGAAATTCTGAAATAAATAAAAAAATCTGAGCTGAAAATTCTAAAATAGAGTACTTTGGAATATAAATTTGGAAATGCAGACTCTGAAATAAAAACCCTGAGACACAAATTCTGAAATCCAAATTCAGGAATGCAAAGTCTGAAACAAAAACCCTGAAATAATTAAAAAAAAAATCTGAAATACAAATTCTGAACTAAAAGTTTGGAAATATAAATTCTGCAATGCAAATCTGAAATATGGAATTCTGGAATACAAGGTATTTGGGACAATGAGCCCTGGAATTCCTTTCCCATGGAATTTTACCTGTTAGCTGGAATGTATTTAACCAGTGGGATTTGTTTTTAATGTATTAAACCTTTTTTTTCTCTTAGAAAAACTGTTTTATTTCCTGTAAACTCGCTATAAAATCGCTCTCGGGTGTTTCCCAGGCACCCAGAGGCGGATTTCTTGTGGAAAGCAGAGAATTCCACGGGAATTCCTGGAGCGGCCAGCAGGGAGAGGGCTCGCACGCGGAATCTCTCGGGCAGGGATCTCGCAGCTTGTCCCGGCATCCTGAACCGACAGCAGCTGGGAAAGGACAAAAAGCAGAGGACTTGGAAAGGGACGTCTCATTTCCAATCCATTAGGAATTCTGGGGCTCCCGGGAAAACGCGGGGTGGTTTCTCGGCGCCGGGAGCTGGGGGTTCCAGGGGCACAGCGGCCTTGGAGCCACAGCTCCCACACTCCAGGAGAGCTGGAGCTGCTGATCCAGCCCCGCCAGGGGAACCTCGCTCTGCGCATCCCAAAGCCGGCATCCCGTCCCGCCGGGATCCCGTCCGGGGGGAGCCAGCGGGATCCCATCTGGTGAGATCCAGGGGGATCCCGTCCGGGGGGAGCCAGCGGGATCCCATCTGGTGAGATCCAGGGGGATCCCGTCCGGGGGGAGCCAGCGGGATCCCATCTGGTGGGGATCCCATCCAATAGGATTCAGCAGGATTCTATCCAGGGGGATTCCATCCAGTGGGATCTCATCTAGTAGGATTCAGCAGGATTCTATCCAGGGGGATTCCATCCAGTGGGATCCACCGTGATTCCATCCAGTGGGATTCAGGGGGATTCCAAGAAGTGGGACCCAGCGGGATTCCATCCAATGGGATCCAGTGGGATCCCATCCAGTGGGATCCAGTGGGGTCCAGGGGGATCCCATCCAGGGGGATCCCATCCAGTGGGATCCATCGGGAAGCTGCAGCTGCCTTCCCTTGGCTGGCTTTTCCCAGCAGCTCCGCCTCCAGCAGATTTCGCCGGTTGGTTGTGGTTGGGTTTTTTTGTTGTTTTTTTTTTTTTTTTTTTTTTTTCCATTAGAGCTCATAAATTATTTAAGAATTGCAGTGATTTGGTGTTTTAAAGTGGTTCTGTGGGAAGGGTGGGGCTCTGTTTTCCTTCCAAGGAGTGTCAGGATGTCTGAATCCAGGGATTCAGTGCATCACCCTTTGGAAAGCAGCTGCAGGGAGCTTTTCCCCATCAAGTTTTTTTGCCATTATTTCTTCCTCTGATAAACTTATTTTTCTTTCTTTAGCCCATGAAAATCAAATTTCCCAGCAGTGAATTTTCCTTATAAATTGGAATTTTCCTTATAAATTTCCTGTGGGATTGGGTTTTCTGGATGGTGCAGTGTTCCCTATGGAAATGTGTTATCCCAGGTGTGTTCTGCTCCCGCTTTTCATCCCAGACAACATCAGGCCACAGCTGGATTGTCGCCAGCCCAATGTAGGGAAAAGTAAAAAGACAAAATCCAACTTCTTTTCCTGGGGAAAAAAAGTCTGAATCTGAGGATTAATAATTCCTTGGGAGCGTTTCATGTGATGGGAACAGTGGGAATTCCTCTGGAAATGAGGTGTCACCTCTGGAGGGGTCTGGAATGTCCCTGGAGCAGCTCGAGCATGGAGGTGTCATTCAGGAGATCCATTTGATGGAATTTGGGAGCCTGGAAAACACTGGATCTGGGGAGTTCCTCTTTTTAACAGGTCAGGAAGATGAGAATTTGAGGGATGGGCACCAGGAGGAGCAGCACATCCCAAATCCAGCACCAGAGGAAGGATGGGAGGTAGGTGGAGCAAAGCCAGGGCAGAAGGCAAAGATGTTAGAATTCCAAAAATAAATTGATGTTCCCCTTGGATACCTCCTGGCTTACAGGAATTCCCACACCAAGAGGGATAATTTGGACTTTGTATCATAAATGTTGGACTTTTCCCACCTGATTTGCCCTCCAGGAGAATCCCAGTTAAACCCTGCTGCACCTCACGTGCCTAATCCCAGATTTCAGTGGTTAACAAGGGATTTGATCCTAAAGAATTGTGGCTCCCATCTTATTGTTTCCATCTGCTTGTTGCTTTCCATAAAAATCACGCCCTGGAGCAGAGATCAGTAATATTTCTGCCTTGATCCCGCTGCTGCGTGGCTGATGAATTCATGGATTTAGGGCAAATAATCCCGATTTCATTACCAGCAAGTGCTAGAAATAAAAACGGCCTCCGGACTATTGGTGGAAAAACAAATCCCGGAGTCGTAAGAGAGGATTAAAATTGGAAAGATAAAAAAATCTCTCCAGAGAAATGTTCAAAAGCTGGGAGAGTGGTGGCAGCTGCTTCCCAGAATCCAGCTCTCCAGCAGCACTTGGGAGCCTTTGGATACGGGAAATAAAAGTGGGCAAGAGGTGGGGGAGGGCAGCGTGTGGAGAAATCCTGATAAAACAGCTCTGGATGAGCTGGAATTGTTGTTTTCCCAGTTTGGAGCTGTCTGGGATGTGCCCTAAGGAGCCTCGTGAGGCTGAGGGTAAAATTGTGGGGGTGAAGCTTAAAGGGAACCGAGCCGCAGCTAATTCCCAAGGCCTGGGAAGAGCAGTGGGA